CACACATTTTCAACAACTATTAGCAGTGTGGCTTAGTGGTTAAGGGCTGGCTGCAATCCCAGGTCAGGGTGGTGCTTAATAAGTTTTCTCCTCCATCTGTGCCTTTCTGCAATTACAAAAAAAGAAGTAATAGTAGTACCTCCTTCCTGTCCTTCCAGCATTATCATATTAACCATTAACAGACACCTACAAGCCTGTGGCTATTGTTATAATTGTTATTGCATTTAGTCACATGGTCAGGAATCTCCCCAGTAAAAATTGAACCAACTCTGATACCTGGCATCACATGACAAGGGTAAAGGGGCCTCTCTGGGAATGACACAACCATATCTGATCTGGGCTCCCCTCTCAGGAAACTGTAGGCATTGGGACAGGGACCTGCCCTCCTCTAGAGGGCACACACTGGAGTCCGGTCATTTATAGAAACACGCAGGATAGGGTGTGGAGACATCAGTCCTGGGTGGGCAGGTCTGGGTAGGTCAGGGAGCCCCCCTGTCCCCGCGCCGCTGACCCACAGCCGCCCCTCACCTGCCTCACCTCTTCCAGTCTTCTGGCACCCCCTAGCCGTCGGCGTGCTCCCGTTGCCAGGCAACATGGTTGCCAAGAGACTCCAGCAGCGGCTGCTCAGTCCGGCTTCTACAAATGGCGCCCACGGCGCAGGCGCGAACGGCTGCACTGACGTCCTACTCGAAGTGGGAGCAACAATGTTTGACAGGTTTACTATGGGGAACAAAAGTGACCCCCCACCCCCAGCTTTCTTCAAGGTACAGAACTGAAAGGAAGTGACTAATGTATGCCTTTCTCAGTACTAGGCACTTTCTTTTTTTTTTTTTTTTCGTATTGCGATTGAATCCAGAAACGCTTTACCACTGAGCCACGACCCAATCCTTTTTATTTTTCTTTTGAGACAGGGTCTCACTAAGTTGCTCGAACTTAGAAATCTTCCTGCGTCAACCTCCAAAGTCGCTGGGAATATAGGGCTGCACTATCATGCCCAACATTTTCCATGCTTTTGATCATCAGAGTAAAGCCATGAGGTGGTTAACATTAAGCAGGTTAGGGATAGGAATCTCAGGTTCAGTAGCTTTCCCCAAGTAGCTGAGATTATAGATATCATTACCATGACCAGCTCCCTCCCAAAGCCTGTATTGCCTGTAACTCTAATGACCTCTTTGTCCTTCAAGAGGCAAATTGGTGGACACTTTCTCCAGGAACCTTTTTTTCCTCAACAAATCCAAACTACTAAGATATTTCATATCTCATACCTAATCACCCCCACTGTCACACTCCCTCCAGGTGCTGGGGATCAAACACAGAGCCCTGGGTATGCGAAGGAAGTGCTCTACCACTGAATTTTACCCCTAGCCCTCTATTTATTTCTGATTCCCCTAGAGATATACAACTTCTCTGTGGATAGAAACCACATCAATTCTGTTTCCTTGGCTCCCCAGGGCCAGGCATATCCCATGAGATGTTCAGTAAGGATAGAAAAAACTAAGTGGTTAATGGATTTGAATGGAACTTTACAATCTAAAAGCACTTTCACAGAACCTGGGTTTAGGAGGCTGAGGCAGGAGGATCACAAGTTCTAGACCAGCCTTAGCAACTAACAGATCACTATCTCAAGTGATCTTCAAACCCTTGAAGTATATAGGTTCATAGCTGAGCAAACTATGGTGCCTAAAAAGCAACTCACCTAAGTTTATCCCCTAGGTCTGAGACCTTCTCAATGAAACCTATTAACAAAAGTATGGGAACATCTGCCTCCAGTATATTAGTTCTGAATTAAAGATGACTAACTTGGATATGTGTATCAAGAACATCATATTGTGATGCAGAAATCTGCCCCCTAGGAAGGGGATATAGCTCAGTTGACAGAATGCTTGCCTTGCATACACAAGGCCCTGGATTCAATCCCCAGCATGAAGGAGGAGGAGGAGAGAAATCTGCTTTGTCCCCTATTGTCCTTGAAAGGATAAAGTCCTGCTTTCTCCTTCCTGATCATCCTATGATCAGGAAGCTGGTTCCCTCAGCCATGCTCTTCTGCCAAGATGTTCTGCCTCAAATCCAGCTCGGAGGAATTGGAGCTGGCCTTCTAGGGACTAAGATCTTGGAAACTATGAACCCTCAACTTTTCTTCTCTAATATTGTTCTGGTCAGATCTTTTAATCACAGCAGTGAAAAAGCTGACTAAAACAATTTTGAATTAAATGGAATTGGAAGTCTTAGCAGCTGCTTAAAATCAAGGTCCCTTTAATATACCCACAGCCAACCACAGGAAGCTCTTGCTCTGAACTTTCCTTATCTGACTGAAGGAAATCTTCAGAAAGAAATGAGCCTGGCGCTGTGGCGCACACTTGTAATCCCAGCAGCTCAGGAGGCTGAGACAGGCAGATCATGAGTTCAAAGCCAGCCTCAGCAACACCAAGGCACTAAACAACTAACTGAGACCCTGTCTCTAAATAAAATACAAAATAGGGCTGGGAATGTGGCTCAGTGGTCAAGTACGCCTGAGTTCAATCTCTGATACTCCCTACCCCCCCCCCCCAAAATGAAATTGTCTCAAACTCCCTCCTTGAAATTTCATCAAGAAAGGAAAACTAGTCATCAGAGAAGGCTAAAGTCAGTTTGGCTCTGCTCACTCACTGCTAACCTTTGGATGAATTTGATTCCAACCAACCCAAAAGAGAAATGAAGCATCCTAAAAGTACATAAAATAATGAAAATCAACCTGGTTTTTTGCACCCAAAACGATAAAAGTCACACATTTAAAATAAAGATTAATTTTAAAACATAAATTTAAAAAAGGAGAACGTTCTAATTGTTTTAGGAAAGCGCGGTGAAGAGCACTAGGCTGGGAGTCAAGAAATCTGGGTTTCAATTCTAATTCTAACTCACTAGGTTTGAATCCTTTCATATGTATAAGAGTCTTAGTTTCCTTGTCTGTGTAAAAAGGAGCTGAATTAAATAGGTTCTCAAAACTGGAAAACCAGGACCTCTTTGAATCTAGTTACATGGTTTTATGAAAGGGCCTCTGGAGATCTGGTGTTGTGGCTCAGTGGTAGAGCACTTGCCTAGCATGTGTGAAGCATTGGGATCAATTCTCAGCACCACATATATAGAAACAAAGTTCCTTTGACAACTAAAAAATAAAAATAAAAATTTTAAAGGGCCTCTGGAGACCATGTAGTTCTCCACACACAACCTCACTTTCCAAACAAACCAGCTCAGGGGAGTTCAGTAACTAGTCAACTTTTCCTTATTTTTTTCTTTTTGTAGTGGAGATTGAACCCAGGGGTAGTTTACCATTGAACAACACCCGCAGCTCTTTTTATATTTATTTTTGAGACAGGCCTCATTAAGTTGCTTAAAGACTCTGTTGAGGCTGACCCCAAACCTGCAATCCTCCTGCCTCAGCCTCTGAGTCGCTGGGATGAGAGGCGTGCGCCACTGCGCCCGGCTCCAGTCAGCTTTTAAACACCCATTTATCATGGAAATTTATTTTGTAGCATGAGCTCTGGAAGCCAGACATGCATGTGATTTTCAGACAGCGTCGGATTCAGAACTACACAGTTAGGTCAGAAGATGGCAGACATCAGGCAACAACCATTAGGGTGCTTGAACTCCGAACAAATCCCATAATACAGCAAGAGTTCTAATCCCATGAATCCCATGATAACTACTACTCCTCCCTGTTGAGATGATTGCCAGAGGGAGCAGCGCGCGCAAACCTCTTTCTGAAGTCAATCCCAATCCAGGCCTCCTCCCTTTAGAGCTCCGGCTCCACCCACTGGGCTCCCTGGTCCCGCCCATCGCCCGCCTATCCTGTTTCCGCCCTGGTTGCCTTGGTGATCTCTGGCGCTTAGGCTGCGTCCGGAAGTCTTTTCTTGGGCTGACTGGCCCAGACCCCGGGAGACTCTTGTTGCTATGGTGATCGCCCGTTCTGCCTGTGAGCCGGACTCTTTCCAATATCAGCTCCGCCCAGACCCCACCCCCGACGTCCGGGATTCGTCAGACGCTCGCCAACCCCGCGTTGCCCCTGTTGCCGTGGTGATCACCGGGCGGTGGGCGCGCGGTGCGCTACCAGGCCGCGCGGACCCCCGAACCTTCGCGGGCTCTCTAGGTAAGTCGGCTCTCCTCTGTCTCGGTGCGGGCACGTTCCAGAGGTTAGGGTCGCAAGGTCTCAGGGTTCTCCCCGCCTGCTTCCTACTCCCAGAACTTATACGTGGTCTGCCACCCTTTGGCCTCCTCATTTCCTGAACGCCCACCTGGGGCCAGGCCCATTCTGGTCCTGAAGGGGAGCGCGGTTAAATGAAGAACAACAGACTGACCTTGGTCAGGGCCACCCTGCAGGGAAGAGGGAGCCCCGGACCGAAAAATGATGTGGAGGGCTTTGAGTAGGCTTTGAGGGACCAGACGCTGGGTGGGATGAGGACTTTCTGGAAAAAGGCCTGAAACATAAAAGTCCCCAGACCAGTTAGCCTTCATCCTTTTAAGACTGGGAGCAGGGGACTCTCCCTACTCTGCTTTCATTACCTGAGCTGTGATCCTCATCCTGGCTTTTGTGCAATGCCTCACCCCAGAGAATTAAGTTCAGCGAAAGAGCCCCTCCTGCTTAGACACCTGTCAAGAAGAGACCCAGGTTTTCTGATTCCCAGGCAGAGTCCAGCAGGCCTGAGTCCCTCACACTGTGCTGCCTGCAGATGGAAAGAGATGGCCTGACTTCTTATGCCCCATTGGCCTTTGCCCCATATACCTTACAGAAGGAGGTTTAGATCTGGTTTTAAAACTGATGAAAAGTTAGGCAGAAACTCCTAGGTATACATCTTTGGGAATTTGCATAGCTCCCTAATTCTTGTCAAGATGAAAATTACAAATTTAAAGTTTTGGTTCTTTTTCTTTTTCTTTTTGAAAACCCAGGAGGGCTCAACCACTGAGTCACAATCCCAAGCCCTTTTTATTTTTATTTCTTTAAATTTTGAAACAGGGTCCTACTAAGTTTCTTAGGGCTTTGCTAAATTGTTGAGGCTGGTTTTGAACTTGGGATCCTCCTGTCTCAGCCTCCCTACTTCCTGGGATTATAGTCATGCACCATTGCACCCAGCCAAATTTAAAGATCTTAATTGGTGTTATTTGCAAATGATCCTAGAATCCAGCAACACATCTTTCTATAAAATAGAATGAGTGTTCTGATGAGCTAAGCAGGAGAAGTTGTTTGTTTGTTTTCCCTCTTTTTGTTTTGAGACAGTTTCTCCATGTTGCCCAAGCTGGTTTCAAACTTCTGAGCTCAAATAATCGCCCCACTTTAGCCTCCAGGCTGGAACTAGAGGCCTGTACCACCATAGCCAGTGGATTAGAGGTTAGTTTAATAGGCAGAAAAGTACTGAAGAAAGCAGAAACAGGACAAAAAAACAGATTAGTTTCAAGTTACCAAGGTTAAAATGGAGGGACTTCCATATCATCCTGACTCAGATAAACTGGGCCCGTTTGGATTAATTGCTATGAATCTCATGGTGATTTTTTGTTGTTGTTTGCTTTTTTGTTTTGTTTTTGACAACTGATTGTTTCAGAGTTCAGTTTGATCACGTGGCACCTAACACAAGTGACTACATTCTGGTTTGGTCTGATCTGCTGAGGCCTAGTGCAAGGAGGCTAATCCAAAATGATGGGCTCCTATAAATTTTATTTAACACTCTCTTTCCTATGTTTGAGTCCACAGGACTCTGGAAGAATGAGGTCTTCTCTGATGCCTTTGGGGCCCCCTGTGAGCCGGGACCGCATCATCACCAACTTTCCTAAGGTAGAGAGTCATTAAGCCAGTGCTTTTTGTCTACATTGCTCTCCTGACCCTGAGGCCATGCCCGGATTTCCTCAACTTACCGTCACCCCCAGAAATCAAGCAGGTGAATCCAGGAGATCTTTCTTCTTGAGCAGCTGAAAAACTGAATATTGACTTGCCCAAGGCAGACTAGTGGTGACAGGGAGCTGCAGTGTGGCTGAAGTTTATAAATCAGACAGTTCTAGGTGTGAATGCTGATTTCTTCATTAAATGTGTAACCATAGGCAAGTTACACAATTTGGAGCCACTGTTACATAAGGATAAACGTCTCATGTTGGAATGGTTGTTGTTGTTCTCATTATTGTTACTGTTATCAAAATAGCATTCCAGTGACTGGGGGTGTCACTCAGTGGTAAAGCACTTGCATAGCATATGTGAGGCCCTGGATTCAATCCATCACACCACCAAAAAGAGAGAGAGAGAGAGAGAGAGAGAGAGAGAGAGAGAGAGAGAGAGAGAAAAGCAGTGTCTGTGTTTGTTAATACATTACAGAAAATATTTCTGGAAGATTAAAACTCTGCCATCAGTTGATTGGTGTTTGAGTGTGGCTTGGTACAAGCCACCAAATGGCCTTTTGTATATTTTGGAATCTGTACCAACCTGTAGGCTCTGGGTGTTTGGGGTCTGCAGCTATTCCTTCTCCCGCCTTATTCACCTTCCCCAATAAGTTTGTTCTCCACACACTCACAGACCTTGGACAGTTCCACTGGGTTTTCCATTGCAACAAAGCTTGGGCCATTGCTTCCTCTGTGAAGCTTGACAGTGGTAACTAGGGATGGTGGAGACTGGTTATTTCATGAACTGAAAGGAAGGGAAATATGATTGGCACAAAACAGTCCAAGTTTCATGGGAGGAAGTACATATTGATCAAGACAATGAGGCTCAGAGAGGTAGAGAAGTTTGCATGACATCACACAGCCCGGAGTGGCAGAGCAGGGATTCAACCCAGCTACTTCTGGTTCCAGAATGCCCCACCCTAGGGAGGCTACCTGGGGCATCTGTTCTCCTTCTGCCTACAGTACTTAGGATCATAGGCCATTGCTGGCCAAGCCTATCCTGTACCTCAGGGCCACAGCACTTCAAACCTGAGGAATTCCCAGTCAGGTTGTATTGGGTCCACATAGTGCTACCCTTTACTCTGTGCCTCAGTTACCCTGTCTCTAAAATTGGCTCACTAAAATTGGCTACTTTGCAGTCTATGATATGACAGGAAATAAGGAAAGCCAATGAGGCTGCCAGGCTCAAGGCTCAGGGGGAGCACTGGGAAGTAGGTAAACCCATGATGCCCAGCTCAGGTGACAGGGCTGTTGTAGCTTTGCAGGATGGTGTGCCTGTCTGTGTATTTCTCTGTTTGTCTCTTTGTAGTGGTACACACCTGATGCCTGCCTGCAGCTCAAGGAGCACTTCCACGGGCAAGTGAGCGCAGCCTGCCAGCGCAGGAACACCGGGACTGTTGGGTGAGCCTGTGGGATGTGAGATGTTGGGAGGGATGACCAGAAGGAACAAATGCAAGTATGAATTTAAAAATGAACAAAGAAAACACATGGACTAGACTGACACAGTCCAGTACTGGATTTCTTGTCTGGCTTTACTTGACACACACTGTCATTTCCTTTTCTCGGATGCTCATGCAGGTGATTTTTTCATCCTGGGGTCTCAACACAGGTTCATTTCCACTGTCTATAACATCTTTCATTCTTTCTTTCTTTTTTGGTACTGGGGATTAATCCCAGGGGCTCTTAACCACTATGCCACATCTCCAGCCCTTATTTTTTGAGACAGAGTCTTGCTAAGTTGCTTAGGGATTCACTGAGTTTCTGAGGCTGGCTTTGAGCTTGTGATCCTCTTGCCTCAGCCTCCTGAGCCACTGGGATTACAGGTATGCACCCCGTGCCTGGCTGAAACATCTTTCTTACTCTTGTTGCCTCCCCTTCCTCTTTGGTTCTCTGTGTCAGTTCCTTTGGAAGCCTAATCTGATACTCTGCTCCCACTGTCCCCCATCCTAAGCCACTGAGTGGGGTGCCCTTCCTGTGAATTCTTGAAGCCCAAGAACTTATCTTAGGGCTGTTTTGCCTGTTTGTATGCCTCACTAGAGCTATCCCACAAGGGCCAGGGATATGCCTCTTATGTTCCTATCTCAACAGTACTTATCACTACTGGCACAGGATTTTGCAGTTGTTCTTTCTTAAATAACAGGTATAGGGGCCTGCTCACAGTCTGCTCAGGGAGTTGGCTGTGCTCACAGATATAGTGAGGCCAAAAGAGAGCCCAGCTCAGAGTTCCCCAGAATTGCACAATGGGAGTGAAAGTTCAAGTCAGAATGGTCAAAGGGGCCATGCCATGCTCATGGGGTGAGAGTCACGTTCTGAATCCCTGACCCCTCATGACCACACCAGAGGTAGGGAGAAAAAGGTACTGAGGGTACCTGCCATAATACTGGTAATATCTTTACTTCTCAGTTTGAATAATGGAGTCGGGGTCACCTATTCCAGAAGAAGAGGGCTTCCTGGAAGTAGGGTAGACACAGTCCCTACCCTCACCAGATATGGTAAATTGAATTGTAGGTCATGTCACCAGGTAACACAGAGGTGCTCTCTTGCAGTCTACAAGCATGGGAAGTGCCTATTTGATGTTTCCCTGGGTTGGTTGCTTCAGCCATTGATATCCTTTAGAATGAGCTACAGAAAGAAAGTGTTGTCAACAGTCCCAAATGTGCTGCTTCCCAGATTACAGGACATATACACATACATATATAGTAAGGGTGTGGCTGCTCTCAATAAGCAGTGTCCCTAAGGAGCCCCACAACTTCATAGCAAATTTGCCTCAAGCCACAGCTCAGATGTGCACACCCTGAGTTCTCTTCATGGCGTACCTCTTGGCTTGTTTGAGACTTGCACACATCTCCAGGTGAGTAGGTGACAATGGTTCCTGGTCTTTATCTGCTTATAGTGAGTTTAGTCCATGTAGGTACACATTCCCAGAAGGTACATAGCAGGAAACAGAAGCTGCCAACCCACCCCTTGTGTTGGTATCTCCCCACTCTTGGGCCCCAGGTCTGCATCCTCAGTGTGGCACCCTGCCATCCCCAAATTAGATGTACCCATCATTCTTGGTTACCATAGCCCCACTTGTACTCCCCACCTCTGCCCCCTTAACCTATGACTCAGCCTCTCTTCATGCCCATTTCTAATTCTCAAGACAGTGATTTTGGCTAAGAGGGGTCAAGGGTACATCCCCAGGGTAAGCAGAGTTCCCAAAACAAATGTAGGCTTTCCCACTCTTCCCTTTGAAGATCAGGGAGGGAGAACAAAAGGCTCAGCAGTGTGGCCCATGCTAAATTCAGGATTGAGGGGTGACTCACTGCAAAGAACTCAGGAAGGAGTTGTGTGTGCTGAAGACACTCTTGAAACCATGCTCAAGGGTGACACAGACATATTTCTCCCAGGCTCAAACTCTCCAAGGTGGTGGTTGTTGGTGACCTCTATGTGGGAAAGACCAGTCTCATCCACAGGTAAGGCCATGTCATCTTCCTACCCAGTCAGGTTGACCACACTTCCCAGCATCAGGTTGTCACCTTTATTTGGGAGGCCCACATTATCACAGTGGGGACTGTGTGGCTGCTGAGAACTAGCCTCAGTCTGGTGGGAGCCAGGTGGGGAAGGGGCAAGAAACTGGGGACATGATGAAGTTGACAGACAGTAGGGCAATCCAGGAGCCTAGGATTATTCACACTGTTAGGACCTTGGGCTAACCCTTTCACTGCCGTCCCTGAGAATAAACCCTTAGTTTCTCTCACTGTTCTAAATTACAGTGTTTGCCTTTGAGGCTGCCATAGCCCCTCTTCCCCTACCTTGTTCTTATTGGCTGCTCTGTTGCCACAGTTTAAATAATTGTCCCCATGTGTTAAAAGCTTGCTCCCCCACCTACGGTACTACTGGAAGGTGGAAGAATATTTAAGGGTCTCTAGATTGTTGAGAGCATGGCCTTAGTGGGGATAATGGGACCCCCACCCCTTCTTCCTTCTCTCTTTCCCTTCCCAGCCATGAAGCAAGTGGTTTTGCTCCACCACATGCTGCTGCCGTGATATGCTGCCTTGCCATAGGCCCAAACAGAGGGGCTAATATCATGAACTGAAAGCTCTAAAACTGTGAGCCCAAATGAACCTTTCCCCTAAGTTGGTTATTTCAGGTGATTGTTTAGTGACAGAGAGCTAACACACTTGTTTGTCTGCAACCTCTGTGGATGGTCCCTTCTTTATCAGTTCCCATCATTGTACTTTATTTGTCTCCAGACGTAGTGTCTCTATCAAGAGCAAAGCTTCCATGCCCATTTCTGTGAAGATACTTCTCTGATAGCTTTATTGCCTCCAACAGGTTTTGCAAGAATGTTTTTGACCGAGACTACAAGGCTACCATTGGGGTAGACTTTGAAATTGAACGATTTGAGATTGCTGGGATTCCCTACAGCCTCCAGATGTAAGTTGCTGTTGTGGGTGCTGATTCTCACATGACTTATGTGTGGACTTTCAGGAGGTGCCTGGGGAAAATGTTGGCCAGCTCATTCTCATTTGTACCCCATGGTGCTCAGCAAGGACCCATCTGGACAAGCATAGCCTGGAGTGGTTGAGAGAAATCGGGTTTTATAGCTCCCTGAGTTCCCAGATCCTCCCTCAGTCCCAGGAGTTGTTCTGTGTTGATGATCAGATCTGGGGAAGGTCTTCACAGCCTGACTTTCCCACCCATCTCCAACCTCCACTGATTGCCTTCTGCTCTTGCTAAGTCTGGTCCTGCTCCTAGACTCTAGCAAGCCCTTCCCCAATCTGGACCTCCTGTGATTCCACAGGAAGTAAGGTAGCTTTGATAAGCCTCTGTATGCAGCAATAAAATGGGACCAAATCCTGTCCCTGAGTGCCAGGCTTGGACAAAGAGGGTTCTGGCAGAGGCTACACTGTCTATACCTCTCTCTCAGGTCTGATGTGCTCATCTTCCTCCTCATACATTTCCCTCAAGTAACTTCTGCTCCTCCTGCTACTCTTTCCTTCTATTTCTGTCTATCTCCTTTCCTGCCTAACCCCATGCCTCTGCTTCTCTGTGGCCTACTAGTTTCAACTCCTCTCTTTACTTTCTCTCACAACAGCCCAAGGTCTACCCAGGCTTACCTTGGCCCAAAGTGGTACATTCTCTGGACCTTGCCTTTCACTCCTCTGGCACCTGAAAGATGCCACAGACCTTGTTCAGGCTCTAGGCCACCGCAGTATCCTGAGCAGCCCCTCTCTCTTCCCTGCTCTCCTGCATGATGGCCACTGTTTTCTTCTTGCCTGTTGGCATTAACCAGGCTTGTCCTGGTCTCCTTCCCTTTCTTCCTATCTTGCTTCATCCTCCAATCATCTGTGCCCTCTCTAGGCTAGACCTGCAGATCCTGTGAATGTCAGCTCCCAGCTTATTGAGGCAGTGTCCTAGTGCTATCCTAGAGCCAGATGATATCACATCTTGTCCAAGGGACAGTACAGAGTCAATCCAGAGCGAAAGAGGCTGTGAAAATCAGGGCAGTAAGACTGAGGGATCTAAAAAGGTGAGAAGGACAAAGAGCCAGGTGTCCCACATGGAGCCATGTAGAGAGTGACTAGTGGCTGGTTTCTCATTATAGCAACAGGCTATATCTAATTAAAGTTGCCAGAACAAAACAGCATTACTGTCCTGCTGCAGCCTCTCTTACATTGAGGTTGTTACCAGCCACCCAGCTGGCCCTATCTCTAAGTCCAACCCCAACTCCGCAACCAGAATCTTCTCCAGAAATGAAAGAAGATAGCCAAAAAGTCTGCATCATGCTGGATCACTTGAAAAAAACTTTTAGATCATTGATGTCATGTCTGTGGTTTATTTTACTTTTCAATTTACTGAGAAAAGTTAAATTTTGATATGTTGGCTTTAAAAAGGTATTCGGAGCTGGATATGGTAACATATGCCTGTAATCCCAGTGGCTCAGGAAGCTGAAGCAGGAGGATCACAAGTGCAAATCCAGACTCAGCAATTTAGTGAGACCCTGTCTCATAATGAAATATAAAAAGGGACTGGGGATGAGGCTCATTGGTTAAGTGTCCCTGGGATTAATCACTAGTACCAAAAAAAAAAAAAAAAAAGATTCATTGTTGAATTTCAGGCTTATCTCTGCATATTGACCACCTGCCTTGTTCTAAACCAGGGCAAATAGATCTCAGGATGTACCTACAGAACTTCTATATCATGCCTATGGTAAATAGCATTAATTTATTGTGGCTCAGCTTCTAAGTCCATTTCAATGTGTTACTTTAAAGAGCCAGAGGGATAATTGATCAGAGTTACCCAGGGGATACAAATCACATCCCTGTTAGATATACCTGGTAACTACAGTCTGGAAGGTGAAGCAGTGCCCCAGTCACACATGAGCAAGTGGCAGAGGGCCATGGCTGAAGGCCTGGCCTGGAACCCAGCACCATTCACAGGGAGTAAGCCACACCACACTATAGAGCATATGTTCCTTTTTTTCTAAATTAATTAATTTATTTTATTTGTTCTTTTTGACATATTATTACATATATGGAGTACAACTTATTCTAATTAGGATCCCATTCTTGTGGTTGTACATAATGTGGAGTTACACTAGTCATATATTCATATGTAAACATAGGAAAGTTATGTCTGATTCATTCTACTGTCTTTCCTATTCCCAGCCCCCCTCCCTTCCCTTCATCCCTCTTTATCTAATCCAATGACATATGTTCCTTTTGAATGTCACAATCAGAAGCGACTGAGCTGTAACTCCATTCATCTGGGCAGTGGAACTGCTAAGGCCATGCTCTCCCCAGTAGCACTGTGAATCCGGTGAGAATTCTTCGCTGGAGGGATCATCAGGATCTGGTGGCAGGGATAGTTGGCTCATATAAGCCCTTTCTGTAGCCCACACTGTTGACACAACTGGTGCAGGTCCTTGGGTCTCCCTCCATGATACTACTAGCCTGGAGGGTCAGATTACTATAATTGCTTAACCTGCTACCATTTTCCTTTCTCTTTCCTCACTGCACAGCTGGGACACAGCCGGACAGGAGAAGTTCAAGTGCATTGCATCTGCCTATTACCGAGGTGCCCAGGGTAAGTAATGTTACAAGGGTGGAGCCCTCAGCCATGTGCAGCATGTGGCTCCCTGCTGTGCTTAATAGCAGGAAACCTAGGTTCTTTGCACAGGCCACTGAGAAAACACTCCAGCCAGTGCTTGGGAGTGAGGAAGCTGCCTTCAAGGCAGGGCCTTGGCTAGCTTTGGCAATGATGCTTTTTTAAGGGAGCCTGTGATGGTGAGTGCTGGCTGTCTCAGTTCCAGTTTTCAGCTCAGGAAAGGATGTTTTTGTCCAGGGGTCCCAGAAAAGAAGGTAGCATCAGACTCTGTGGAAGGTAGAGAGAGACTTGTCCTGCCTTGTTAGGAGAGGGCTATGCCAAAGAAGAAGAATGAAAAAGAGATCTTGACAGGAATGGCAGGTCCTAAGCGGGGGGTCAGCAGCATTGGTAGGGCTCAGCAGAGGCAGCAGCATAAGCTTTTCATGCCAACCTTAGCTTCCCAGGAAAAAGATAGAAGTTGATTTCAGTGGGAGGTATAAGAATTGTCAAAAGGATACCAAACCAGACTCAAAAGTATAAGTCACAATTAGGCCTACTCAGTAGTGGTGAAAGAATTCAGAAGCAAAAACAGAAGCAAATCATAAGCAACTCACCTAGGGTTAGAGCTATAGTTTGGCAATGTTGACTGTGGCCTCTAGCAATCTTTACCTCCCAGATCTCTTTTCCTTGAGGGATGCTGCCTCCCTGGGGCTAGAGATGTGAGACACCTGGCACAGCTCTGCAATCAACAGCTGGGCTGCCATTATCCCCATCATCAATGTCCTCTTTTTCTCTATTCCTCTGTGCCTTAGGAGGGCCATCAGCCATCAGCCAAGGTGCAGAGGTATCCTCTGTTCAGCTTGCTCACATCCCAAGGGGTGGGTAGTGGAGAACAGATATTTGCCTGGAATGTCCTCCACGTGGGCTTCCCCTCAGGAACCACCTCAACACCATGGGCCTAAGGGAGTACCAGTAACAAGACGAGCTGATAACAGGGTTGCACATCCCAGTTTTCTGCTCATCTGACTCCCTAGAAGTTGTTTCCATTGAGCTGGTCGTTGCTAATTATCATCATAGCCATAGATTGAAACTATGACCAGGCTCTAAACTAATAGTTTTCAAAATAGCTGCCCTTATTTGCCCTCACAGCATCCCTGAGAGCTAGAGGTATCATTCTGACCATTTTACAGATAGGGAAACTGAGGCTCTCAGCCATTAAGACTCTTGCCCAGGCTCCCTTCTCCATAAGTGGCAGAGGGTATCTGTTGCCAAGGCCACATGCTCCTGTCTCTTCATCCTACCTCCTTGGATTCCTCCCTGAGACTGTGCTGCTGAGTATAGGTAGCAGGAGGGCAGATCCTGGAGGGAAGCCATAGGGAATTTCCTCCCCAGCCTCTACTTTGGGGTTCAGGGCCAGAAGCTATGTTGGCAGTTCCTTGGGTTCTGTAGATGTGTCTGAGGGGAGCCCCTTTTTCATACTTTGTTGGCTTCACTTGTTACTGACTGGCTATTGGCTTTTCCCTATGTGTCTAGTGATCATCACAGCCTTTGACCTCACTGATGTACAGACTCTGGAGCATACCAGGCAAGTAATCCTGGACCCTGTGAATCCTTCAGGCCACCTAAGTTCAGGAACCTGCCTAGAAGAACTCCCTAAACCTGGCCACTAGGGACCCCCAAAATGGATTTAAGTGACCAGGCTCATTTGTCAGAACCAATTGCCCATAGGCCACCTACTGTTCAGTTGCCTTTTTATCCCTCAAGATCTGTCCTCATCTGCTACTCAGGGGTATATAACCAATGCAATTGCACCACAACTCTTGCTCCAAAAGACCCACATTTGCTTTAATACCTTGATGTCAGGCTGGAGATGTGACTCAGTGGGAGAGCACTTGACTAACATGCATGAGACCCTGGGTTCAGTCCCCACCCCACTCCCCCCAAAATGCTCTGCCACTCTGCTATCACATCTTGAGTGTTCTAATCATTTCTGAATGAGGAGACCTCTCTGTTCCCTTTTCCCTAGGCCCTGATAATTTCAGAGCCAGCCCTGTCTTGAAGGAACATGAATTTGGTACTTGTTGTCTTAGAAGAAACATGGGCAATGTCACCAATTCCAGGAGGCCATCCTGCATCTGCCACGAACTATGCCCCCTCACCCTTCATTTGTCTGGAGGCATTCACATCCAAAAACCTCCAAAGCATGTGAGGGAGGCAGGAATGCATTCCAGTTGATAAAGTGCAGGACTCACCAAGAGGATGAGGATGGGCTCTTCATCTCCCTGTGACTACTGCTTTTGTATTGCCAATCCCCTCTGGTCCTACAAAAGTCTTTCTGTCTATAGGACCAGCATCCCCACTAAGCCAGTGTGGGCCAAAGAACCCTCCGTGAACCTTCCATCTTAGTGCTTCCAGTCCTGGGGAGGAGTCAAGTCTTGACCTTGTCCTCTGGTCCTCAAGACATGAATGGGTGGGTGGCATCTCAGGCTGTCTTCCCTCTGTGCATTCCAGGCAGTGGCTGGAGGATGCACTAAGGGAGAATGAGGCAGGCTCCTGCTTCATCTTCCTCGTGGGAACCAAAAAGGACCTTCTGGTAAGCAGAGCAGAGCTGGAGGCCTGGGTGGCCCTCAGGAAAATTCCTACACATTCAGCTCAAGTCTGAGGAGTGGGGGTGGCACTGACATAAAAAGCCTTGGAATTCAAAGACTGCAGGCCTTGGAGCTGAAAGTCAGGGGAACTCAAGTTCCCTGTGCTGTTTCCTAAGAGAGGGACAACTGGCACTCATATTTGCCTGTTCAGGGTGCTCATACCACTGAGGTGTTATCTCTGGGCAAACAGCATCTCTGCACTGGGGTTGCCTCACCTTCCCTAGGTGACCTGGGGAGGGATGTGGCACAATGAAAGGGAACCGATGCCTACCCTTAGGGGCATCCCTATAGAAGGGCCAGGACACTGGGTCAATGAATACTGCTTCTTCCAGTCAGTAGCAGCATGTGAACAAACTGAACTGGAGGCTGTGCACCTGGCCAATGAGATGCAGGCTGAGTACTGGTCAGTGTCATCCAAGACTGGTGAGTAGGACAAGGGGCCATTATCATGGGGGGAGTGTGGGCTGTTGTGGGGCCAGTTCTGCAGGACTTGCTGTATCACAGAGATTCTTGCCTTTTCTTTCGCATCTCTGACCATGCTAGTATCACGGCACAGCTGTACTGGTGACTGACAGCAATTTCCATTGCCTGAGAGGAGTCTCTTCCTCTCTGGAAGGACACTGGGAGGCCCGTGTCATGGGTGAGAGGAATAGCAACCTCTGGCCATTGCCTTACCGGCATGTTTTTCAACACAACCCCCATGGCTATCCATAGGTGGTCTGACCCTGGCCATGCTGGATCCCCCAGAACCAGACAAGATGCCCAACATCTCCTGGCCTTAAATCTCCTTAGCTGAGAAGCAGAGTGATGCTATCCATCTCATTTTATTTTTAATGAAATAACATGATTTATTTTATAAAAGCCATATATATTTATTGAAGAAAAATTAGGAAATCCTTCTCTAAGCAAAGAACAAACTTTGAAAGCAGGTTTCTGGGGAGATTGAATGAAAGAGCATGCAGTGCCTGGCATATAATAGACTGCAGAGGCTTTCAGGACTTAGGATTTGGGCCCAATAGTCCTTGCCCTGGCCAAGCAGAGACAGTGGACATCTGGTCCCAGACTGAGTGAGAGCCAAGGGTAGAAGAACCATCATTGGCCCACCATAAATGCTTGGAAGTGCCTGTGCCTGGTGCCCTCTGTTCCATCCCAATAGTGTCCCTTCTGCCCTGTGAAGACCCACCCTTCTTTATCAGGGTAACCTCAGGTTCACTGAGACCTCACTATAGACCAAGCCAGACGGCCCTGTGCTGTTATGTAGGTTGTGAACTGCACAAAGGCAGTGTTCCTATTGGGTGCTGGAGCCTAGTCTGCTTCCTGATGGACAGTTGCCTCTACCTGGAAGAGTACATACAAAGGCTCCATACTGAGGGCCAGCAGCATGTGGAAAGTTACAGGAGAACAGTCATAGGTTTGTCCTGAACTCTGCCTGTGCCAGCACCTGGCCCATAGCAGGTGCTCAATAGCAATTGATTAGAAGCGTAGATGCTAGGGAATGAAGGCTTGGAGGTCTGAGGAAGTAGCCTAGGCAGGCAGTTGGGTCAGGGATGGGGGCTGGAGCCAGGTGGGAAGATGGGGCTGAAGCCAGCTGGGGGGCCTTGCCCCCAGGACTGTGAGTTCCCAGATGGGTGGTGGGACTGTATTCAGGCAGTCACCATTACTGTCAGAGGTACTCCAGAAAGGGCCATGTGCTGGCATGAGGGTGGGCTATCCTGGCTTCTATGCTCAAATACATTTGGGGGTCAGCTGGGGTCACACAGCTATCTTGTGGGCCCTCAGGAGAGAATGTGAAGGCATTCTTCAGCCGCGTCGCTGCCTTAGCATTTGAGCAGTCAGTACTGCAGGATCTGGAGAAGAGAAATGGCACTCGGCCCCAGGTTGGCGATGGAGACCTCATCCGTACGTACAGCCATGACTAAACATGATTGGGGAGCAGGCTGAAGGCCAAAAATTTATATCCACTCTCCTCCCATCACCCGTTTCCTTAACTTATGGCCCTCCATTGTCTTCTTTGGACCCTCTTCTCTGGGCTGTTGCTCCAGTCTCAGACCTGCAGCCTCCCTAATCCTGCTTTCCAGCTCAGACACCTTCTGTGTCGTCCTTCCTGACCTCCAGACAGCCTCCTAGGGCTCTGCTCTGGTTCTCCTAGTCTCTGCCTTTGCCCACTTTGTTCCACCACCCAGAGTGCCCCTAGGCTTCTTGCCCCAAACCTCAAACAATAGGCCTAGGAGATAAAGGTCAGGGCACCCACTGTCAGAGTGGGTGTGGCCCCTGCCCAATGTTGGCTGCAGGATGCTTGAATGATACCAACTTACTTTTCCTCTCTACAGGAATGGAGGGGAGCTCACTGGAGACCCAGGAGAACAAGAGGCCCTCCAGCCTGAGCTGCTGTTAGCTTGGGCAAGCATCAGAGGCCTCCGCTCCTTGGGTGCATGGGCAGCAGCTCCTGTGACGATGGAGAGGTGACGCGGAGCTTGAACTCTGCAGTGTGTCTCCCCTCTAGGTGTAGAGGGCTTGCATTCCCAAGGATCAGCCATTTTTCTGGCAGGTCAGGAGCCACTGACTGCCAGAGCACTCCACACTGCCTACCAAGGGGCATCATGCCTGCCTGTGGGTATTTCAGTGAGCTCCTTAAATGGCCAGTCTTAGGGTCATCAGAAAGTCATCTGTGGCCTTGAGAAGCCTCAGGGCTACAAGCTCAGGACACTCCTGCATTGTCTTACATCTTTCACCCATGGCCCACATCAGCAGTCAACTCTGGCACTCTTTCCAAAGATCTTAGATGTGGCTTCAGAATCCTTCTCATTACAATGTTCCAGGTGACCAGAATTTGTCAAGGAGAAAACCTATTTGCCATCCTACCAGGGAGTTTTCTATTATCAATGGGACATGAAGTTCCAGGCTTGGAACTCCAGGCCTCACTGTGCACTGTTCCTCTGCCACAGACTTCCGGGTTCCTTGGGCAGCCCTGCTCCTCTCAAAGGCAATGGACAATAAAGTCTCTCAGGTTCCTCCCTAGTACCTCCGAGATTCCCATGGTCCTGCCCTCCAGGTCATTGGGCAACAATGGACAGAACAAGCTGCTCACACATCTGGCCCATCTAGAGGATGAATTTCCTTTGCCATACTGTGAGATGAAGGACTTCATGGCCACTCCTTGGATAACTCACTTCTTATCCCGTGAACTTTATTCTGCCCTGCTCTGGCACTCACGGTGACCACCGTTGCCTTCCTGCCTCTCTCTCTCCCATTGGCCGTATATCTGCAGGACTTTTGTGATCTGACCACTACTCATCTATAGAGGACTTAAGAGACTCTCCAGAGTCTGGCATGTTCCTGACTCCACCATTTCCTCTTGCAAACCCAGAGTAAGCAGGAACACCCCCAGCTCTCTGCCCAGAGTACATGCCCTTCTCTGTGCCCCTCCTTTTGCTCCTCCATGGGGTCCTTCCTGACCCTCTTCACTGCTATTAACTTTCCCACCCTCCCCCATGCCACTCATCTCTGCCCTCTGCTGGTACATCCAATATCCCTGTCTGCTGCCTGTAGATGGTGAGCATTTTGTAGGCAGCTGTGCTGGTCAGCACCCCTTAGTGCCTGGCACACCTCATGTGCCCAGTAAATGTTAATTGACTAATAATAATTACCAAACATCAAAATTATAATGAACAATGGCATATTTTTTCTGTTCATTACCTCTTTACCTTTTTCCCAGTTTCTCTCTCTACATATGTATGATATATAAAACATATATATATATAAACACTTCTTTATATAAATTGCATTTGAAGAAATTGTGTGCTTACTGTAAAAAAAAAAAAAAAGCAAAACAGTACAAAGCATATGAAATACAGACTTAAAGCCCCACCTCAGGTTGGCTGCACTCCTGAAATGAGTCTGGATAACAGTTATTACTATTCCTTCTGAGCTATGTTCTCTTGTGTGCAAACCATGTTTGGTGGCTGGTTTGTTGTTTCTCAGCATGACCTTGTGCTGTGCTCCCTGTCTGGCAGGCTGCCTTCCTAATGGCCTGCCTGGAGTCCTCTCACTGTAGGTGCACACTGAGCCTCCTGTCCTTTCAGCAGCTAAATTTTCTTTGGTGTGGACAGATCAAAGTTCATTTTATCAGCCCACAATTTGTGTCCATATTTGCTTTAAGCAGTGGTGCTATAGTGACCATCTTGTAGTTAAAGCTTTGCATACTCCAGATTCCCAAAAGCAGTCTTGCTGGGCCCTTCTCTGAACTGTGGCCCTTGACCTGGTCCACTAGATGTAGTTTGATGGGAATAGGGGAGCATGCCACACTGGGGGTGCCTTAGGGAGGACCAGTTTTGCTGGGTGCAGCAGAAAGCTTCACAGGATGGGAGTGGATGGCCTAGGTGGGCTGTCTTTCTCCACAGCTTCCTCCTCTGGCCCCTTCAGGCCCCAGTGGGGGAAGGGGCAATATGGTATCCTACTGTTACCAACTCCTGAGCTAGAAGCATAATGTCTCTTGTATACCCACACTTCCATAAATGGTCCTTTATTAAACTGCCCTTGTATTTCCTACTCTGGTGTGCCAGCTGATTCCTGTGGACCCTGAATGACAGTAATGGTCTCTCCAATTTCAATATTTGGCCTGGGAGGATGGGAGACTAAGTTCCCCAGGGAAATGAAATTAAAACAGTGTTGTCTTCATGTGTTTGTGCTGCTACAACTGAATATCATACACCGGGCAAATTGCTATTATTATTGTTATCATTATTAGTACTGGGGATTAAACCCAGGGGGACTTAATCACTGAGCCACGTCCGCAGCCCTTTTTATTTTTTATTTTGAGATAGGGTCTCGCTAAGTTGCTCAGGTCCTCAGTAAGTTGCTGAGGCTGGCATTGAACTTGCTATCCTCCTTCCTCAGTCTCCTGAGCTACTGGGATTATAGGCTTGCACCACCATGCCTGGTTAGATGGGAAAATTATAAACTATAGAAATTTATTTGGCTAATAATCCTTGTGGCTGGGAAGTTTAAGAGCCACATTATAACATGGCAGACAGACGAGGGAGCACATGCCAGCAGAAGCCAAGATGACTTCAAGAGGCCTAAACACCTCTCATTAGGCAATACCTCCCAACAATGTTACACTAGGGATTAAGCTTCACAGTGAGTTCTGGAGAGGATAATCAAACCATATCAAGCAGGCAGGGGTGGAGCTCAGGGAGAGCACTTGCCTATCATTCATGAGGCCCTGGATTCTATCCCTAGCACTACAAAACAGAACAGAATGTGTCTTCTCAGAATCAGTCCAGTGTTATTCTCTTTGACACAAAGACATTCTCTTCAAACATCTCAATATTTAGCTGAGCATAGTGGCATATGCCTGTAATCCCAGCAGTTTAGGAGGCTGAGGCAGGAGGATTACAAATTCAAAGCCAGTCTCAGCAATTTAGCGAGGCCCTAAGCAACTCAGCAAGACCCTACCTATAAATAAAATATTTCTAAAGGGGGCTGGAGAGTGGGCTGGGACTGTAGCTCAGTGGTAGGGCGCTTGCCTAGCAAGAGTAAGGTACTGGGTTCCATCTTCAGAACCACATAAAAAATAAATAAATAAAGGTATTGTGTCCATCACACTAAAAATTATTTTAAAAAGGGGGAGGGCAGGGGCTGGGAATGTGGCTCAGCAGTAAAGCGCTTGCCTAGCATGTGCGAGGCCCTGGGTTCAATCCTCAGCACCACAAGAAAATAAATAAATAAAATAATGATATTGTTTTAAAAAGAGGGGTGTAGCTGGAGATGTGGCTCAGTGGTTAAGGCCCCCTGGGTTCAATCCCAAGTACCAAAAATAAATACATAAATAAAAATCTCAATATATTTTTTAAATTTTTTCACAATACTTTTATTTATTTACTTTTATGCGGTGCCGAGGATCAAATCCGTTGCCTCATGCGTGCTAGGCAAGTGCTCACCACTAAGCCAGAACCCCAGCCCAAAAGAATCTCAATATTTAACAGTAAACTTCTGAGGCAGAGACAGTCTCTGTGAACCTGGTCCTGCAAACCTGAGCAAGCAGTCTCTGCAGCGATGTAATGGCACAATGAGGACCATATCCAAGTGCTTCAGAGATGTCTTTTTCGTCTTCTCTGGTTCCGCTGGCACCTTCCCTTCTCACTATCTGTCCTCTGTCCATCTTTCCATTCTTTGTCTCTTCTGCTAGAGACCCCTTCCTGTCCCCATCTAACAGATGAGAAGTCTGAGCATTTTTACATTCCTGGTCTCTCTTTTGCCTCTGCCCCACACACACTGGGGTCTGATCCCAGTAGGAATGATACTACAGGTGGCCTTACCTTGAGGCTGTGTATCCTTTACATATGTATACCCTAGTCCGGTGTTCCCAGTGCCCCAGTGCCCAGGGTTGTAACTGGAAAAGGGATTTATTTGCATGGTCCAACTATACCCAGGATTCCCTACCTGAGCCTTCCCACCTCACAGCCTACTCTCCGTGCCCCCACAGTGTTAGGCAGTCCTCCCCCAAACCCACAGCCATGGTGACACAGGCTCCACAGTGACTTGAGAAGATCCCTCTCAGTCTCCTTCAGTCTTATGACCTGGCTGCCACATCCTCTTCCCAGCTCTGCTAGAGGCCACAGAGCTTGTTCCAATTTACACTTCAGCCTGTAGGATGGAATGGAGACCATTCCCAGATGAACCTCTCTCTCCAGAGGGTCCCAGGGTATTTTAAGTCAGGAGACCTAAGGTCCCCTAGGATAACTGAACATAGAGGTGGCAGAAGACTGGTTAAAACTGCCATGGTTAGCCAGGCACAATGGTGTATGATTTTAATCCCAGCAACTCTGAAGGGTGAGGCAGAGGATTGCAAATTCAAGGCCAGCCTCAAGAATTTAGCAAGACCCTAAGCAACATAGTGAGACCCTGTATCAAATTTAAAAAAAAAAAAAAAGAGCTGGAGATTGTAGGTCAGTAATAAAGCACCCACTGAGTTCAATCTTCAGTACCCAAATCAATCAATCACAAGGTCACATATTCATTCTTACTCACTAATAAGTTCTTAAGAGCTTCCTTTCCAGCTTGATCCTCTGTATTCTTCCATTTATTCTTCCCAGAGCCCACACAGGGGATGCCAGCACAGCCCCACCTCACAAGTGATCTAAAGTATAGGGAGGAAATGACCTCTGGGGCTATGCAGGCCCAGCTGGACCAAGAGGCAGCGGAGTCCAACTCTCACAGCCTTGAGCCCCTGGAGATACTTGTAAGCCTGGGAGAGAGAGCACTTGGTGATAGAAGAGGTCCACAGCAGGGATGAGAAAAGGCCTGTGGGAAGAGGCTCTCCAAAGAAGAAACATACAGCTCAGAAAGAGGCCCTTCCTCTTTGGGGCAAGAAGAGAATCTGGGTGGGCCCTGGACTCCACCCAAGAAGCCCACAGTTTGGGCACTGTCCTGAGATAGGAATCCCTCTCAGCAGTTCCCAGGGCTCCTCTGCCATCTGCTGTGGCATCCCCATGTCATATCCCATATGTCAGGCCTTCCCCTGAGGGAAGTTGATGGACAGATGGGAAGTGTGGCTGTCATACCATCTCCTTCCAGGCAGTGCAAATTCTACCTGGCCTCCTCCCCCTCTTCCCAATGCCTCCCTGGCATTCAGGGTCACCAGCCATCAGTCTGAACCTCTGAACTAGCAAGTACAAAGCTTCTGGCCCTGGGCTGCTGTGGGCAGGCCTTTCACTCAGCTTGCCCATCACCAATCTTCAGGACACAGACTGGATGGTCTAGGTAGGGCAAAGCAGGCCTGGGGCTCCCTCTTCCCCAACAGGTGAGAAGCACCCTTGGCCTGACAATGCTCTGGGCCACTAACCACTGGAAGTCATAGCCTGGACCACTGACCACACCTTCAGAAATAAGCTCATCTCACCCAGGCCCCTCCTCTCCCTGCTAAGGCTGGAAATAGCAGTCAGGAGATTCTTCTGGGATTGTAACGACTGCAGAGCCCTCATCAATAATTGATTCTGAAGAAGCAGTGGATTAAGTGCTGAGAAGAGGTCTCAAAGCCCTAGGCCCCCAAGTCAGGAAGGAAGAGCCCACACCCTCACTCACTCAGAACCCCAGCCAGCAGCTCCAGCAAGAGCTCATTTCTCTTTTAGCAAAGATGTCCTACAGAGATCCCTATTCCCCACTCTGGGTCAGGGGTCAGTGAGCCTGGAAGAGGTGCCCCAGCAAGCACTGTCTAGCACAATACAAGCTAGCAAGGCTAAAGGACAGCTGTATTGATGATCTCAGTTTTCTGATCTTGCCCTTGGCTCCCTGGGGCTAGATGACAGATGATGGATGGGGGTGGTCATGTGACTACATCTTACTTGAAGGGTGCCCTCCTCCAGCTTCCAGCTTTGATGGAGACAGCATTTCAGACATTGCAGGGAAGCAGCAAGAAAAGCCCAGGTTTTCTGGTTGACCTCAAGTAGGTTTTACAGCAGAAAATCCTGCCATCTTTATAATACCCCATCTGATCATCCTGCCTGTTGGCCCAATGTTCAAAAGAACTGATTTGGGACTTGGGTAGGTTTGGCTTAAGTCTGGTTCCCCAATTTATTGCTGTGTGATGGGCGTAGTTACCCCTCTCTGAGCCCCTTTTCCCTGCCCTTCACTGGAATGATGCTAGGAGAGTGGAAAGAATTCACATTTGTGGAACCTCTGGCCCCAGGCTGGGCACCCTGACAAGGGCTAGTTGGACAGTAGCCGTGAAGACTATGAGACTTTCACAGGCAGGGCCACTGCACCTAATTATATGGTACTTTTGGGTGAATTTTTCAAAGGCACTTGTGAAATTCCTCAAAAGTAAAACATGGAATTGCCATATGACCAGAGATTCCATTCTTAGAAATGTTCCCAAAAGGATTAAAAACAGGAGCTAGATATGGTGGTGCAAGCCTATAAACTTACCTACTCCAGAGGCTGAGGCAGGAGGATTACAGTTCGGGGCCAACCTCCACAACTTAGGAAGACTGTCTCAAATTAAAAAAAAAAAAAAAAAAAAAACAAGGGTGGGGGGCGATTTGTGCTAGGAATGTAGCTCAGTGGAAGAATGCCACTAGGTCCAATTTCCAGTACTAGAAAAAAAGTATTAGAACTCAAGGAAGTATACTGTCTTTAGTCTGTTTGTACTGTTACAACAAAGTACTGTAATCCAGATGGTTTACAAACAACAGAAGTCCATCCTTCCTTCCTTTTTTCCTTTCTTCTGTGCTGGGGATCAAACCCAGGGCCTCATACATGCTAGGCAAATGCTCTACTATGAATTATTACCCCAACTCAAAAGCTTCCCACAGTTCTGGAGGCTAGAAATTCAAGACCAAGGTACAGCATTGTTGGGTTCTGGTGAATGTTCTCTTTCAAGCTATAGATTGTGGACTTCTCATTATATACTTACATGAAAGAAAGACAGCAAGAGTTCTCTGAGCTTCTTTTTATAAGGAAAATAACCTGCCATTCTTATGACCTAATAACTTCCTAGTCACTCACCTCCCAATACCATCATATTGCGGGTTAAGATTTCAACATAGGCCTGGATGGAATGATACATGCCTATAATCCCAGCTACTTGGGAGGCCAAGGAAGGAGGTTCAGAAGTTCAAGGCTAGCCTAGGCAATGTATTGGTCTCGCTACAAAATAAAATCTAAAGAAAGATGAG